TGTCTGGTAAGGCCTATATTACTCTGAAAGTGTTTTTGTTAACTTACCAATACAGGGTCTTCCAATTCCTTGGGACCGATAACCCCTAGGGCATGCACACCGGTAGCTGCCTCTTGTGTTCTCACATATTTGGTTATATCTGCACTGATGGGTCCCATCTTTGCACTCATTGATGTCTACAGACATGGGGGCAATAAAAAAGCAACATTTCTTCAAACATTAAGTCATCCCACTTAAAATTCACATTCTACTGATTGTCAAAAGTTGTGTTTCTGACTATGTCATTGAGACTATGTTAACTTAGGACTTATAACTTGGGAGTCAGTAAACCTAGGTTCAACTCTCACATCAGCCACTATTAACTGGCCCTCCCCACACCCTTGCTTCCTAATGTGGAAAGAGTTTTGTTCTTTGTTTTTGGTTTTGCTTCTTCTCTGTACTTCAATTCCTTTGGCCGTCTTATTTGCCTTTAAGGTCAAGGTGTAGATAGATTTGGAGCCATAGTGAGACAAGACTTCCGGTCACCTATTCCACAGCTGCCAGCTGGACACCTCCACTTCCTCTCTGAGCTGCACTGTAAAGCCAGCATACTTCACAGTTACTCTCTGATTTATAGCAACAGCACTCCCTCGGAGTCAACCAGGGCTACTAGCATCAATCATCTTTAGGTTATTTTTGTAGCTGGGCGGCTCTGAATCCTTCAGATGAAGTCATAGATCTCTCTATTTACATTCTCACTGAGCAGGACTTCTGCTGTCACTTTTTATTCTCATATTTCAGTTTATGTCCTTTCTAATTGTCTTAAACCTAGTTATAAAGTCAGTATTCCTAAAAGCAAACTCCTCTGGATGCTATGAGGGGCAGCACTCAGATTTGGCTGCTACTCCACTTAAGGAAATTAGTTAGCTATATACATAGTTTTAGAGTTACAAAGTATTTGAAAGGTGATGGTCCAATACTCGCCCCTAGAAGTTCGTGGGTAAACAAAACTTTCACATGCCTCAATTATCAACAAGTGGTCAGTATTCCATGTCTAGGGATTTCTTGTGAGTACAGCACTTTCTTGTCTTCTCTTTCCTACCATTGCACAAGTTAACAGTCCAGTCAAATTTAAATTTAAATGTGATAATTTCCATGATGGTTTTGATAGTTTTACATATGATCTTACATATGATCACAGATTGCTGTTAGTCACTGCCCAATTTTATTTGTATGTTTCATGGTGTTTTTCATTTTTACTTTGTATTAATTATATAGTTCCTCCCCACCTAGTTTTGGTAAGAGAGTAAGCCAAATGAATTATTTGTTTCTATTTATTGTTATATTTACTTATTGTGTGTGTGGAGGGCACTCACATGCCACCACACATGTGGAAGTCAGAGGACAAGTTCTGAAAATCAGATCTCTCCTTCTACAATGTGGGCTCCTGGGATTGAATTCAGGTGGTCTGGTTCAGCTACAGGAGTCTTTACTGCTAATCCATTATTAATTGCTGCAGATTTTCATTCTACCAATTCATGTAGGCTGGTACAGAATAGATCAATAAAGAATGAACTTAGAAGAAATACAACTTATTTTCAGTGGCATCTGGTAGTTCTATAAGCTGGTATGCAATAGATGACAAGGAATAAAGTTGAGATAGATAGAATTTATTCATTTTGTTCTTCTTGATTTAATATTTAAAGTAATTCTAGAGTAATTATTTTTTAAAATAAGTGTCTAGAAACATATTTTTTCTTGACCTTGTTCTGCGGTTCTAAGCTAAATTTCAAGCTACAAATGGCATGAGTTAATACTAATCCGTGCAGATGTTAAACTTTGTAAAAAAGGTATGACGGATGGGAGCTCAAAACGGTCACAAGTCTGCCTAATGGGCTTCCATTTCCTGGTATACCATGAGATTGGGGTTCTAGAGCACAAGCATACCAGGACTTAGTGGAACTGATGGATTTTTTAAAAACTCAGTTTACATCATCATCTTATAGAATAGACACCTGTTGCTGCTAAAGAGTTCTCTATCAGGGAAAGAGCACGGCACTCACCAACACAGGTTCCATTTTCAGCCTTGGTCATTCCATTTGGACAAAGATCAATGCACTTGTAGCCACCACGGGTGTTCTTACAGTGCTGGTCTGGTCTGCACACACTCTGTCTGCATTCGTTCACGTCTTGATAAGAGAACAAGGGTAATACGGACAAAGTAAATGATGGATTTCACTTCTCTAGAAGAAAGATTGCTTAGGACTTTTAGGTAATTATAAATCAATATATATGTGTATAATACAATTGCTGTATATGGTAAAACTGCTTAAGTCTAACAAGGTATATTAATTGTTTACTTTAAATCAAAATGAGAAAGTATTTTTTCATAGGGTTGGTAGTCAGGCTTTTTATTGTTCCTACAAAAATAATTCGATATATATGATATAAACTTAATGTGTATACATACATATCCATTTATATATAAACTTAATGTGTATATATCTATATGCATATATTCTCACACACATATGAATGTATTACATATGTTATGCTGTAAGACCCTAGTGGTTTTATTATTCAAGCATGGAACAGGGAATTTGTAAAATACCATTTGATTCTTCTTTTTGGACAAATTACAAGCACGGGCATGGCAGGTAGCCTGGATTTGGATAAGTTCCAGGACACAGCATGTACATTTACATAGTTTAGCACTGAACAGTTAGAGGAGTCTGGAGAGATGGCTCAGTGGGTCAGAGTGCTTGCTACACAAGCATAAGGATTGGAGGGTGGATATCCAGGGCCCACATAAGAACCATGGGGTGGCTGCATGTGGACCCGTACCCTCAGTGCTGGAGGAAGGTAGAAACAAGAGAATGGCTAGGGCTTGCTGGTTCCCTTGTCTGGCTGAAAAACAGTGAACTCCAGTTCCGTGAGAGATGCTGTCTCAAAAGAATAAGGTGGAACATGTCATTCCAGGTCATTGATGTCCTCCTCCAGACTCCGCACACGTGCACACAGATGCACACTCTCACTCTCTCTCCCCTCACTCTCTCACAGAGTTACACCGACGTCATCTCTGTGATTTCAGAGTAAGTATCTTACCGATGCATTTTCTGCCTTTGAGTTGATAGCCAGCCTCACATCCACAATGGAAACTCCCTATGACATTGAAACAGCGCTGGTGACAAGGATTGGATTCCTGACATTCATTAATATCTGTCAAATAAAACCAAACTTTCAGTATATGTTGTTAGGAAAGCTGAGTAAATTCATTCCAAATGTTTAATCATTTCCTAATCTTGGTGACGATCATGTTTAAGCCCTCAAACTAACCTGATATATGAAGCCTTGTAGCCAGCTGCTGGGAAGGGCTTTTTCCTCCAATACTTTTAAGCACAGATATCTACTAATGGTTCACAACTCTAGTTGGTTAAATTCTAGCCTGCTTTAAGTACTATGCAGCCCCCACCTCTTTCTAGAAAGTTTTAGCTTTGCAGTTTTGCTGAAATCCTGGAGTAAGGATAGCAGAAAACAAAACAAAGCAAACTAGCACAAAGCTGGAAGACCTTTTGCAAGGGGCTTGGTTTCCCTGCCCTGGCTGCTACTCTCCTGACCAAGTCTGTCACATTGTGTCTGACTTAGCAGCTTCAACACCTCTCCTCTCTTCTTCAGTCACTGCCAAATTCATCCCAACATGACTTGGCTCATAGAGAAAAGAGGAGGAGAATGGAAGGTCTCTCCACCCAACAACACTTTGTACCCTCCTTTCTCTCTCTTCCTCAGTCCCAGACAGAGAGAGAGACAGAGAGAGAGAGAGAGAGAGAGAGAGAGAGAGAGAGAGAGAGAGAGACCCTTTTCATAAAAGAAGTCTTTCTGAGTTTGCACCTCTGAAGGGCCGCCTTCTCTTTTCTCATCAACACGGGCATTGCAGCCCATCAGCTGTTTCCTCCTCTTGTGTAGGTTTGAAGTCCCATCCTTCCCTTTACCCCTAGACATTGTCAAGTCTCTTCATGGTAACACAATTGTTCTCCTTGGTCATATACACCCCAGTCTCCTTTCTTTTCTCTGTTGTTCTAATCCAAATCCTTCAAAAGAGCAATCTTTACTCTAAAAACCGAGACTGTCAATATCCCTTACTTTGTACCTCTTTCTATTTGAGATATTCTTCTTTAGGTCTTGAAAGACATAGTGTGTTAATGTATATAAGCACATGCACATGATCAAATACTTGAAAATACTTTTTTTGGTGCATGTCCTTCCATTTCTTTTTACATTGCTTGCCAGCAAAGGCAAATGCCATTGACTATCAGAAATGAACAGCATATAAATTCTGTGTGCATACCTATATCTCTACTTTCCTTTTCTTTGGTTATTCTTTGCTTTCTAATCACATTATTTTAAACAAGTTATACATGATTTTTTTTATAGCTTGATATTCTCAGTCCTGCACATTGGCTGATGGTGTGGAGGAATCATCACCTTCTTTTCCCATGTTGTAGTTTGGGATCTACTCTTTTTGCCTCTGTGAAACATCCTGACATCAGCCTTACTAGTAATTGCCAGAACCTTGGGGTCTTTCAGTAGGTGAAAAATAAAGTGTGAAACAGTCGTACAACTTGGCCCTAAAAGAAATGTACTATGAAATTATGCAAAGAGTCATGAAGGACCTGAACTACTAAGCAAAAGAAGAGAAGCCCGTCTCAAAGACTATACACTGAAGAATTCTAGCAATACAACATTCTAGAATTCTGGCAATATAACATTATGCACAAGGATTTACTATGGAGACAGTAAATACATCTGGGTTGGAGAGGCAGAGATGGGCCAACCACTGGGCTCCACTCATGTGTACACATATGCACAGACAATTGCACACCCACACATATGAAAATACACATACACATATGTGTTCATAGCACATACAGAAACACACATGTTATACCTTGACAGCTGAGCCCATCAGAAGTTCTTCGGAAGCCTGCTCCACAATGGACCACACAGCGATAGGATCCAATGGTGTTGTCACAGTCCTGACCAGCACGACATGTATGTCCTCCCAAAGCACACTCATCAATGTCTACAACAGAAGGAGCCATGACATTGAGGTGAGTTGAGAAACACTAACTTAAGGACTTGCTGCGAAGCAGGGACTAAAAACCATAAGATATTTGAAAATATCAAATAATAAGAAAGATTGAATTTTTTGGTTGAGTCATTTAAAGAGTTAGGAAGGTAACAAATTCATAGCACATTTGATGTATTCATAAGCTAATCACTGGATTAGATGATTTATAAATAAGGTGTTGTTCTCTCTGAGATCTTCAGTGAGCTATCCCAGGCATCCCTAATTTCTGGGTGCCCTTATAAAGGCAATAGCTGGTCACTATTCTCTTTCTTAATTTCTCAACCCACTGAGGACTTTTCTGCTTGTTGCAAAGCTGTGGGCAGAGGAAAATCGTAGGTGACTGGCCTACCATGTTGTTTTCTAGGTAATGCTGTCTTGGTCATTGGATTTAGTTTTGAGATTACCTTGACAGGTTCTTCCATCCGCAGCTATGGTGAGGCCTTTGGGGCAGGAACAGTAATAGGTTCCTATGGCATTGTGGCAGGTATGGGAGCAGGGATTCCCGGATGTGCATTCATCTTCATCTAAAAGAAGAAACAAAAAGGCCCACCAATATGCAAAACTCCTGCTTCTTAGCAGCTGTTCAAGCCCACAAAAATAATCATGTCTAGATGCCTAGGACTTGGATCAAATATAACAGAAGGCCACCAATATGCAAAACTCCTGCTTCTTAGCAGCTGTTCAAGCCCACGAAAATAATCATGTCTAGATGCCTAGGAATTGGATCAAATATAACAGAGGATACACTAAGTGACATAGAATGGAATTGCTAAGGAGAAATTAATTTGAAGACTCAAGTTATTGCTGTTAGTGAGTCCATAGTTAGATTTTATTCTAAAACAAAAATGATAGCTAAAATACATTTACATTTACTTCAATCTAAAGGATCCATAGCAGTTGCAACTCACTCTCCAAAGCATTCTTCAGAGACAGGATTTTTAAGTAACTATTCTAATTTGCATGACAAATCTGGAGAACAGAGTTTAAGTGAATGCTCATGGTCACAAAGGCTATTACTGCCAGAGCAGAGACTTGAATGCAGTTTAAACACTACCTCTTGTTGGTCAGTGGAAGAGTAGCACTATGCGTGCCAACATGAAATCCTCAGCCATTTACTAAGCTGTGACTTCCTGTGAGGGAGTCTCTTGCAAGGGTGCCTATGGGGCAAAGCTGAATTCTTGGTTACTTGTGGGCCCTCTATCCTATTCTGTCCCACTACTGAGCAGTTTTGTGGTTAGGCGAGTTTGTGATGGATCACCTGGTAGCTCGAACCCACTGAGCCACTAGAGGGAGATTAATTATCTCTGCTCACTCCATTCCGTATTTGGTCACCGTCTCTGATACGCTAGATTGTGGCCAAATTGAAAGCTTTGTCATCCCACTAAACTCAAATGTAGCCTTGCAGTTTCATACTACACAATCTTAAGGACTTTGTTTAGTTCCTCTACATCTCCGTTCCTTAGTTATCAAGTGGAACATTTATAGACAGCGGCGATGATTCAATACCTAGGAAAATGGCAGCAGCAGTCTATTAAAAACAATTATTAGTTGAGCCAGAAAGATGGATTGGCAGGTAAAGGTGTTTGCTATCAAGCCTGATGACCCAAGTTTGATCCCCGGAATCACACGGTGGAGAGAGACATCTCCCCTACAGATATTCCTTTGGCTTTGTCATGAACCACCACCTGCCCCTTTAACACCAAATAAATAAATGTAAAGGGAAGACAACCACCATTACGAAATGAAAACATCTTATCACTCCTACACTTACCAGCACAAAAGGGTCCCACTGGGTCTAAGGTGAAGCCAGAGGGGCACTGGTTACTGCGCTCTCCTATGGAAGAGAGAAAAACACAATTAACTAGCCTGTTAGAACACTGGCACCCCTTTCACAGCCAGACCTTCCCTGGGAAGATACACCAAAGAAGAAACAAAGAAAACACAGTGTTGGAAACAAGCAAGAATGGAGAACTTCATTATTTTTCAACCAAAAGTTAAATGAACTAGTCCAGAGATTGCTAGCAAGCTGACACTGGAAGCACATTTTCCCTTTCCACAGAAGAGAACCCAAGGTAAGTATGTGTGCCAGGCACAGCTGCAGATGCATCCTGTTGTTCGGACCACTGGTACACTTTATGACGGAGGAAGGAGGCTGTGCACAAACAACTGAAATTCTTTGCCTTCACGAGTAATCAACATTATAGGCAAGAACCCCCTTTTTGGGGAGAGGGGTTTTTTCTCCATTTGCAATATTGATAACCTTGGCTGAAACTCTTGTGCGTGACTGTTCTCCTGTTCTGAGCAGTTGAAGCAAGGGCAATGGGCAAGTTGAGCTAGAGCAAATTTAGTTTATAAGAGCTAGTTAGAAACAATTCTAAGCTATTGGCAGAGCTTTCATAATTGATAATCATTAGGAACAAGCCTAAGCTATCAGCCAAACTTTCATAATTAATAATAAGTCTCCATGTAGTTATTTGGGAGCAGGCTGGTGGACAGAGAAAGATCCACCTACAACTCTTTAATATGGTTCCTCATGTTTTGGTGGCTCCAAACCATAACATTATTTTGCTACTACTTCATGACTCTAATTTTGCTACTGTTACAACTGTAATGTAAATATTTGTGTTTCCCAGTGGCCTTAGGCAACCCCTGTGAAAGGGTCATTCGACTCCCAAGGGGGTCCTGACCCACATGTTGAGAACCACTGGTTTAAAAGTTACTATTCTGCTTCAATTCATTCAAACCTCCTGACATCCTTACTGTTGTCATGATACCTAGTTTTCAGATGAGGCATCTGAGAGTAACAATTTATAAGCTGCTTAAGGGCAAAAGCTAGTATGGGCAGCCTTACGAAGTAAGTCCCTTTGACTTTAAACTGCTGAATTGGTTATTACAACTTATGTTCATTTATTATTTATTCCTACACTCTTTAAACTTAACTAGTATGTGTTTAGGCTGTTGGGGTTGTACCTGTGGGGGGAAAATCATGTCATAGAAACATAATTTGCTATTATCACATGAGGTTTGCATTTTTGGATAATTGGGAGAGGTATTTTTCATTAGGTAGCATTTGGGGAATGCTGCAGGAGGAGATTCCTTGTATGTTATCATGATAAAGAGGACTGTTAAAATTCAGTGCATGGAGCTGTGGTGACACATGCCTACAGTCTTACCACCTGAAAGGGTAAGGCAGGGAGACAGTGTGTAAGGCCAGTCCAGGCTACTACAGGGAGTTCTTAATGGAAACATTTTAAAAAGAAAAGCCTAGTGAGTTGGGGAGGACAAGGGACAGGTTTCAATAATTCTGCAATGTGTACGAAAGCCCTGATCATTTGTTCCTTGCTCTGAAAGAATTTGATTTAAAGAGGCTGCAATTATAAAAGCTTTGAAAGTATGAACTACATAATCAACATTAGAAGCCTTGAATGTATGTTCTACACATTAAACATTAGAAGTCTTGAATATATGTACTACAAATCAAACATTAGAATCTTTGAATGCATGTATTACATATTAATCATTAGAAGCTTTGTATGTATGTACTATATATTAAATAATAGAAGTTTTGAATGTATGTACTATATATTAAACATTAGAAGCTTTAAATATATGTACTATATATTAAACATTAGAAGTTTTAAATGTATGTATTACATATTAAACATTTTCATATGTAAAGGATTTTCTAGGAATGCAATTATTATGCAAATTTGTATCTTACTGTCCTTCATTTTATTTAGAATGTAACACAGAATTCATTAAAGTTACCCTCACCCCCAAAAAAGACAGTAGGATTTTATAGGTCAGTTTAGGCATATTGCTAGTTTTCTTTATCTAAAGATTCACATGTTAAAACAAGATACTTTATTATGAATTATTTTCCTTTATTCACTCTTTTCTTTCCACACAAATGTATAGTGTAGATGTGCTGGCAAACACGTGTTTGTGCTTGAGTGTGTGGAATCTAGATGTTGACACTATGATATCTTTCTTTAACCTCTGTTTACCCACCTTGCTTTTTGAGACAGGGTCTTTGTCTCTCACTGAACCCCAAACTTGCCATTTTTCTCGATTAGTTAGCTGGTGAGTCTCCAGGATCCTTCTGTCTCTTCTGTGCTGGGGATACAGGCATATGCCACTGTGTTTGGCATTTAGGTGGGTTCTGACGATCAGAGTCCTTTTGCTTTCACAGAAAACACTGTAGCCACTGAGATGTCTCCTTAGCCCAGTTTTTACTGTATTTTAATTTGTATGTTTATATGTATGTGTGTCTGTGTGCCACAGAGGACAACTTGGAGGAATTGATTCTCCCCTTACATTTGAATCTTCAGGTTATCAGGTTCGCTGGCAAGTACCATAACCCCCGAGCTAACTCAGCCACCTCCCGTTCTTTACATCACAGCAAAAGTAGATTATTTTGAATTACAGCTGTGATTTTCATCTGAACATAGGAGACGACAACATAAAGTATTTGTTTATGGTTATAATAATGGGTTATAATATAGACAATTTGAATGTCTAAAGTTAAAATTTCCTATTACTTTATCAGTTGGAGCAAACTATTTCAGTTTATTGACACTTGGTGTTTTTCCTTCTAGTCATATTAATTTCCGCACTTAAAATGCTAAGTATGAAAATACTAATCAATACTTGCCAAACTTTATGAATAAAAAATCATTTGGTGAGCTTATTAAAAATGTAAATTCTGGGTTGGTGAGGTGATTCATCAGATAGAGGTGCTTGCTGCCAAGCTTGAAGACCTGAGCTGGTAGCCGGGGCTGACGGCACAAAGACGGTCATGTGGCTTTAGGCTTGACACTGTACATTTCAGCCTAACATGTAGAAGTATGCATGGGGGAAGAGAGAGTTGACTCCTGAACGCTTTCCTCCGACCTCTGCCTGTGTGCTGTGGCATTCATGCTTACACACACACACACACACACACACACACACACACACAGAGTAGATCCTCTGATTTGC